ATAAAAATTCAACGTCTTTTTCCCATGTATTTTTCAAACTAAGGAAATTCAAGTACTCAATTTTCATTGCTCATGAAATGTGAAGAAAACAATTGGTGATACTGTTCTTAAATCTATTAAAACAAAATGAATGGGAACGGAACCAACTAGAACATCTAAAATTAAACGCGGATTCAGCTGCCAAGGAGCATTCCTGGGCCCCACCGTCGTGTAATCTTCGAACGAAAAAAAATCGTATAAATTCAGAGTGAATTACGACCTATTTGAAATAATTGAGAGCACAACAGCATCAAATGAGTTGTCTTTTTCGTAGGTTGATTTAACACCCTATGCAAATTTCGTAATAAGTAAGGGAAATCGAAGACGGAAAGGTGAAATAATTATAGATACTATCAGGTTAAAGGTGTCATAACAGTATTTCACTTGGGTTCATGTCAAATCATGGCTGACGCAAAATAATCCCGTTCAATGTGACCAAAATTAAGTAAACGCATTTTGAAAATATTTTCAAAGTGCGTTGGTTTTGTCCCAATTTTAAGCACTTTGAAAAATTTATTTAAAGTGCTTATTTTTTCGTAGTGCGTTGCCTCAATACTCTACGAATGTACAATTTCTAACAGGAGGTAAATTATTGAAAAACAAGTTGAAGAAACAAGAATATCAGCAGTCTCATTTAAATGTATCATTTGGTACATTCTAGGTTAGATATATGACCTTTTCAGAAGATTCAATTTATCATTGAGTTATATGCTGTCTGTCATTATTCATGCTTATTGTTTGTCCATTTTTTACACACTGAATTGACAAGGTATTTTTTGTTATTTCATGATCATGACAAGTAGTACACGGCGAGTGTGACTAGTCGACAGGGGATGCTCACTCTTCCATGGCCCCCGATTTCCACTCTAATGTTTCGGAGGTCCGTGTTTGCTCTGCTTCTATTTTATATTATTTGATGGGTTTTGAAATTAAATATTGTTTGTTTTTCTCTATACATTTCATATAATGCTTTTAATATTAAGTTAATACTTGCATGAAAAAAATACATATTTCTTGCCTTTGAAAGTAGCTTAATTAAAATAAATTAATGTCGAATCAGTTCGACAGGGACAAAAAGGCATGAAAAAAGATAACTTACTATCCAACTTCCACCTTCCGTTACAGTGTCGCAAAATAATTCAAGTGAAACTCCATATGAAAACTCTCGATGAAATGAATTTGAAGTTGTCGCAAGGTATACAAGATTTCCACTGCAACCTTTTAAAAACATACAATTTAATTTATAAATATAGTTTTTTTTTGTTTAGATGTTATGTTTATAAGGTTTTATATTTTGAAATTAGCTTTAAAATTTTACCGTATTTGTATTGACATCTTTCTCCGTTACGATTTTCCGGACATCTGCAAGGTTGTGTAAATTCTCTCTCGCACAATTGTATCTAAATAATTACAAAAAATAAATTAAATGATTATTTTCAATGTACAAATATTTGAACATTACTCTGAAAACCATGAAAACAGATAAGAAATCTATTATAATGATATGATAAATAATATATATAATGTCAACTAAGTTTAATACAATATAATCTCACCAGTTCAAAGCGTTTGCATGACCCACCACCTGCCCCAATAACACGTGTTCTGTTCCTTTCGTACATCTAGCAAGTCTCAGTTACTGTAATACCGTTGTGAGAAAAGTCGAAAAAATAACAATTGCTGTTCTGTATACAGGAGGAAAGGCAGTGACTTAGAGACCTTTCCTTACTAGCAGCGTCAGCATCGACTGGAATAGGAACATGACCAACAAATTCGAAATGAGACTCTATGTAATCTCCATTACTGCATGCAATAGTCAGAAGATAAATTGTAATTGTCATTAACTGCATTTTGTGTGCATGGGCTTGTATTGCAATTTCTATATAAAGGCCAAATTTCCAAGTGATTCTGCCTTTTTATATTTCTTGATCAATAGCAAGATTTTTTTTTACAGCGCTCAACTAGGTCTCATGTCTCGTCGAAAAATTTGATTATCTAAAAAAAAAATCATCTTTTTTTTCTTTAAGACAACCAACCCAAAAATATGCATTTCTTTTAGGTAGTCGATAGTACCGTAATTAAAGTATGGGGATAAGAAAGAATCACATATCTCTTTTGTTTTACCGAAACGAATTTGAGACCAGACCATTAATTAAAACAGAGATATCTGGAAATTTCAATCGTGTAATCAGGTGCTCTAGGTGCCATGTTCTGACATCAATTATTATGATTACTGAGTAGGTGGACGGAATAATAAGTAATCAAATTGTGCAAAAGTGTAAATGTAATGGTCTAACAATTAGTATACAACGTATTGTTAGTCAAAAATCACCCAGTTACAAGTTCTATTCACAAAAAGTTATTATGAAAATAAAAAAATCTTCGTCATATTCATTTATATATATATATATATATATATATATATATATATATATATATATATATATATATAAAGCACTAAAAATGACCAACGACACGAACAATAAAAATTGTCAAATTTTCGGGACGCCCTGTCCCTTCCTCAGGACAAAGAAAAAAGTTAGAAAGTCATAAGAACAAAGGAAAAAGAGAAACAAGAACAACTAGCACTACTACTAAACTACTAAACACTAGATATTTACATACTTAATTACATGATGAATTGGAATTTTTAAAAACACTAATAAAGAAAGAAATCCGGACCGCTATGAAATGCGTCCGGTCTATCGGGTATACTCGGGCGAAGTGCGATTTACATAATTGAACGAATTAATTATGCTAATTAATTACGACAATCAGTAAATCGTACATTGTTTCATTCTCTCAAAATGGCGTAACTTTACTTAATAAAGAATAATCGAAGAAAAATAATGTAGCAGGGATATTTAAACATATGAATTATGATCAATTATAAATTTTGAAAAATTTATAATTGATCATAATTCATATGTTTAAATATCCCTGCTACATTATTTTTCTTCGATTATTCTTTATTAAGTAAAGTTACGCCATTTTGAGAGAATGAAACAATGTACGATTTACTGATTGTCGTAATTAATTAGCATAATTAATTCGTTCAATTATGTAAATCGCACTTCGCCCGAGTATACCCGATAGACCGGACGCATTTCATAGCGGTCCGGATTTCTTTCTTTATTAGTGTTTTTAAAAATTCCAATTCATCATGTAATTAAGTATGTAAATATCTAGTGTTTAGTAGTTTAGTAGTAGTGCTAGTTGTTCTTGTTTCTCTTTTTCCTTTGTTCTTATGACTTTCTAACTTTTTTCTTTGTCCTGAGGAAGGGACAGGGCGTCCCGAAAATTTGACAATTTTTATTGTTCGTGTCGTTGGTCATTTTTAGTGCTTTATATAAATTTCCATCCGTGACCTTGTATCTACTTGGTAGATCCGACATTTAGGATATACAGTGTTGTTGGTTTTTTAGTGCTTTTATATATATATATATATATATATATATATATATATATATATATATATATATATATATATATATATATATATATATATATATACCCACTTCCGCCCCGACCCGGGGTTGAACTCTCGACCTTCGGAATCTGTCTCCTAGCAGTGCACACCGCTCGGCTATCTAAGCAAGTTAAAAAACTTGCTTTCGATACCGATGGAATTCTTGCTGCGCTGCCCTACACTTCACGGTCATTGAGAATAGAAGTGAGATATTTGGACATTAGTTTTAACATGGGTATCCATGTATAAGTGAAAGTTTTTACGGATGTGGGTGTGTAAAAAATGTTCGACTTAACTGTAAACCAATATAACCATCATCGTGAGACTTTGTCAGCTTGTGATATTTAGCAGGGCTTTCTATTGTACCCAGGTAACACCAACAGTTATATATATAATGTTTATATTAGATTTGGCTTTAGTATAAATAATGTGCAAATGATGTGCTAAATACACTTCCTGTAGCATTCGATTCGATGGTTCGATATATCGACGTCTTTTCTTTAGACAACAACAGTTACTTTCATTTATTTCATTTCGACTAGATATACATATATATCTCAGTGAGCTTGAAATAATAGATACTGCAGTGTTTAACATGTTTAGTACACCTGTTTCATAGTTGGATATTTACCAGGCAAAGAGATTGATGGTAACCTTACATCAAAGCTTTATAAAAACATGATGACTTCAACTTCTCAAACGTGAACTTCCCTTTCTTATGTAGCATTATACTCTTTTTACCTGCAATTGGAGTTGATTCTACTACCTAGTACTCTATGTATAATAACGAACAATCTCTAAAACGAGATAAGCTACTGACAAACACATTGCTGAAACAAGAAAATCAACAGTTCTTTGTTATATACAAGGATGCTAACTTATCAGCAAATGCAATCTTATAAACTGATTTTTCTCACTATTTTTATGCCATTATTACTGATAGACACTGGATTGTCTACGATTTTTTTTGGTTTTTGTTTTGCCATATCATTAAGATGAGCAAACCACGGGCGTAATGTTTGTGAGGTCTGTGTTTGGCCTGCTTCTGATTTATATTGTATTAAATAAATGGACTTTTGAGATTGATTACCTTTCGTTATTTCCCTTTTCAAATTAATCATACAAGAACTGTTCGGATCATTTATATAATTAATGACAAAGTTTAAAGACTGTTCAAAATTAATGCAAATAATGTGAATGTTTTTAACATCAGAATCGCTTTATTAAAGTAAATGAGTGTTTAAATCTGAGGTTTCAAACATCCAGTGTTAGTGTTGATCTGTATATATTCCACTGAATCGACGCATTATATGAAGGTGAAAATTTCCTCCATTAAAGCTATAGAAATCAGTATTTTATAACATCTTTTCATATCAAATATGTGCTTATGAAAAGTCCTCTTTATTTAATCTATTTCTGCTTCATAAATAATAATTAACATCAATTGTCAACTAATTAGAATATCACACATTTGCACAATGGTCTTGACGTTACACTCCACACGATACTTCCTGATCACCATTAATAATGACCTCTAAGACGTAGAGCTATCTTTAATAGTTCTTTATTGCATTGATTCCTTGGCAGTAAGTCTTTTATACTGATTTCAACTGCATATTCGCAATTGCGGTTACCAGCACAATAAGACAAAATTTGTATTTGCCACATGCATCTGCATCTAAATGCACTGTCAGCTCAATTCGTACAACACCCGAGGGAGTTAAGAAACCCACGCATATATTTACGGAAAATCCATGGTCATTCAAAAGAACTAGGCACATAAAACTGTGCTTCAAAATATAGTTCCTATAAAATAAAATACAGTTCCCATCTCATCTAGCTTACAGTGTAGTTTAGTGCATCGACTCGGTCATGATGTTAGACTGAATTACTTTGATGTTCATATAATATGAGAAACAATCCTCTGTTGGTCTAATGAAGATATTTCACGTCTTATGGTGACACTTCTGTTGTGAATATTTCCAAAGTTTGATATTTGTCACTAAAATCCCCTCGTATTTACTGTCGTCTACTTCATCTTCATCGTCCGGAAGTGGCGTCATCACTGCGAGAGAATGAGACTTTGGAATTGTGGGTATCGGAGGTGGAAATGACGTCAACGAACAATTTAAGCAATCATCAAGCTCATCAATTGTTTCTTCGTTGATGTCTTCAACAGAACCTCCAATTTCTATAAGGAAGTAGAATGTTCCATGTTAGAATAAATCTGGTCAAAAAACTATTTATTAATTATATGTGTACATATTGAAAAATAACTCTGTTGAAATAACAATCTTAAAGATTAATTTTTTACTTTTTTCCCTACTGGCACTGGATTCTTACAAAAGTATATTCATAAAAACTCAGAAAGCTGTAAAAGAAATTCATTTATTTTCCACTTTCTTCTTTTCCAATATTTTACCTCCAGTTGACTCAATGGACCCTGTGCTGTTGTTTCTGTGTAGCTTGTTGTAAGTTGGAGCACTCTGTTGTCTAACTAAAGGCGTGGCCGTAGCATTGAAGTCGGCAGTGGACATTATTCGAGGATGTCTATTTGGAGTCTGACGGCGTGACTTAGCTAAACTCTGGATAGATTCATTTATTCCTATAAGCTGCATCATCAATTTCACGTCTTGTAACCTCATTGCTTTCTGCAAAATTTATAAGATGTTGTTTTTCATTGATTTTTTTATGTTCCTAATGTATTTATAAGAAGACAAAAACTGTGTGTTAGAAATGAAAATATTCGTCAGTATAAGTTTGAGCATGATTTTAAATTTTTTTTCTTTTGTTGTAAAATTTAACACTGAACATTTGTAGCCTTGTTTAAATTGAATTAATTCTAAAACAGGTATCATTAACACGGAATAAACACAAAGGTTGCATTCAAAGGTTGGGGGGTACACGAGGATAAAATGTTCCCGGTGACTGACTCTAAACGACCAATTAATGACTGAAGTTTGTGTATAATTGTTGATTTCTATACATGTACAATGTGAATAACGGTAAACCTCGAGACGGAGATCCTCTGGTGTGAAAGAAACGAACAAGTTTGTTTATGGGAATTAACGATAATCGAAGTGATAAAAGTATTTTAATATGGCAATTTTAGTGTACACAACATTTGACCATTAGACTAGACAAAAACCGCTCTTATAGAAAAGTTATGTTGAATTATGGTGTGGTTTTGTTGCTTGTCTCGCAAAACATTTTTTTTTCGAGATGGTCTATTTTTGAGGGAAAATAATTTGTCCTATTTTATGACATTTTTAGCCATTTATAAAAAATTACTTCAGAAAATCAACAGTTGACATATGAAAATAATTGTCATTATTTGTAATATTTAATAATAAGTGTACTATATCAAATATCGTACTATGAAATCAGTATTATTTTTAAAAGATTTTGTTTGAAACTCTAGCTTAAGGGCTTTTTGGAGAAATACAATTATCCCATACACGAATTAAAATTTTGAATGCATTTTACGTAATAACACAGAGAAAATCCTTGAAAATCTTTCGACTTTTTTCATCTATAGTTTAATCGTGTGCATTTAATAAGGCATGATAACAATGTACCGCTGCATTATTGCACAAAGAAGGAGTTAGTCTGTGTAACTGTGATAAGGCAATTTGACAGGGTATTGTGTTGAACCTTTTCTTTACCGCATGTCGCGACGGAGAAATTAATAACCCACTTTATAATGGTGCCACAGGATCTTAAAATTTCATTCGAACTCATGTCACATTTTAATGTATGTGAGGTGTAATCAAACAAAGTGAAGTGGGAAAAAATGTTGAATTGTGTGTATATAAGATTACTTTAATTATATTTCGTGTAAAGATATTTACGATTGCTTTTTTAGACGGAGGCTTAGCCTCCGCTCTATTGGTACCGCTCATCTGAGGCGGAAGGGAATTTGCGATCGCCATCTAGCGGCAAATTACGTTAACTTTGATTAGCCTAGTCCCCAGGCTCATACTTTCCAAGGTAGGAGTACACGAAGCAAAACAGGGACAGGGAACCAGGCTAAATTTTGATAAACTGGCCTGCCTGTCTGATATCAGATATGCGCTGTATACAGACAGGTGATCAGTGATGTATAGAGTCTGCTGCTGACACGCTCATTGGCTGATAAAAACTCTCGCTGACACAGAATTTAAATTGTCGGGGAAACCAAAACAGATCACCGAGTGCAGTTCTCTGCATCTGATTTTGATGCAATTAATCTAATTCGGTCACAATATTTTCCAAAAACAATACATAATTCTTTTTTTTTTCCTCATGAACCTATAATTATCTGACCTCGCCTGAGGGCTTTTAAATTAGTTTGCGAAGGTCCTATCACATTAATACCCTACATTACCTAGGTAAAAGAAATCTGCATCATTGTTTAATTGAAACTGACATATTTTAAATGTTCACTCACTGACTCAGCAGAGAGCTGCGTCTTATCTGTTTATAGCACAGGTACAGAATCTCTGCTGCATCTATTTTTAGAATTCCTTATCACATATTTCAGAAGATTTTGCAAACTATTTAGATGGGACAAACTGACCCACATGTTTCTATGTTTACATGACCAAAACAGTGGCTTGAATCTTACTTTGTGGTGTAAATTAAAGTAATATTATGGCTAATCTGTGCAAAAAAAGGATGCATTAAAACACTGTTGTCATGGAATCTGCAATAGTGACTCAAAGTAGGCTTGGGGTAAAAAGCTGAGTGGAGTGGAGTGGAGTGGAGTCGTGGAGTCATAGAGTGGAGTCGTGGAGTGGAGTCTGTATTATAACAATACAGAAAGTTTGAGAACAAAACAATTTCTTTTGCATTGTCGTTTTGGATTTGTGTACACTGTACCAAGAATGAAACAAGAAACAAAAGAAGTCCATGCAATCAAAAACTAACGACCTTTAAATGTCAAACAGAGAATCACTTAGAAATGCTTTATGTAAACACTATCTAAACTTAGCAAGACTGTTTGACCTTATTCGCCTATCCCAAAACAGGCAAACCTAGCAAGAGGTGTTGACAGAAACAGAAAGAGCACTGCACTGCAGAACTGATGACAGCAATTTAATGAGAAAGGCACATTTTTTTTTTCATTTTAGTATTAAAGTGCAAGATAGCCCCTTTGTTGGAATTTGAAGGTCACATTTTTTTCTGTATCTCTATCTTCTTAACAGTATCTTCCTTTTCTGGTTAAAGTAGAAGACATGCTACAGAATAGAGTGTTAAGACTCGACTGATAAATACATATCAGCCATTGGATCTGTTGAAGTTTAACAATTGACCAGGATTAATTACTAGACTTAAAATAAATATAATTACCGGAATTGAAAACCTCAAAAAGTAAAATATTCAACAACTTGTGTTTTTTTTTTTTTTTTTTTTTTGGTTTTTTTTTCATTTTAAAGTACACATTGCGCATTTTAAACGATGACACACAATTAACTTTAAATAAAATTATTTTACCCTTGTTTTGTGAAAAGGGAGCTGTTTTATACCTATAATTAGTTTCATAAATAGTTTTATAAATGTGACTCATAACATTATTAATACATATGAAAAGTAATGTCCCCACCCTAAAACAAGTGTTTTCTTTTTATTTTGCTGATCAATGTATAACATGCAGTCTATCAACCAGTATATGTATCATTGAGGCAATTATTTATTATTGATGAAAACATTTTGACAGAATTCATTGGGACTTTAAAAAATGTTTATCCCTATAGCGATGTGATGAAATGTATTTGGTTACTTCTGATCATAAAGATGTGTTGTAAACTAAGTTATTTATATCTTATTGATTAATTATTATATATACTGTAGTTGGAGGGGCAGATATAGTAACACATTTGTTTGTTTTAGTTTGTGTAAGTTAACAGGTGACATTTAGATTTTTTTGCTGACAAAAGCAATATACCACTTAATTCAGTTCTTTTATTTACAATCAACAAATGAGTAAGCATTTCAAGCGCAGTAATTAAATCTGTCAACACTTCTCGCCTGTTGGGATGGGAGTGCATATGGGTCACTTGGTCTCTGTTACTCAAAACAAAAAGTTATTCCCATTGATGTGTTGACATTTGAAGGTTATATCCTCCCCCATTTTCTCATTCATCTACAATATGTATGAACTATTATTGTAACAGTCTCTCAGTGATCACAGACAGCTATAGCTTGGGCATATAGAGTTGAAAAGGAAAGGAGGGATTGTGTTCGATTACCTGAGTAATTTTTTGAATTCCATAGCTCTACATCTACTATATAGTAATGTTCTGTAGTGTATCCTACAATTTACCAATACCTGCTAACCTCTACGCCCAAAAGCAGAGTTGTAAATATTTACACAAAATGAGAAATAACAAACAATTAAATAAGATAGTTTTACTTTTAAAAAATAATTTAGATAGAGATTGAAAGCTACCGCATTATATAATACAAGTAAAATAAAATAAAATTGATTTGAATGTAATGATTTTTTGACAAATCATTGAATATTTTGTACATTGTAGCAAACCATAAAATTTTAAGAACAACACAAAGTTGACAAAATCCTGCTTGACCTAGTCATCTTTTTAAAAATAAAATTGAATAACCAAATACATTTCAGCACATCGTTATTGGGATAAACTTTCTTTTAAATTCTCCATTGACTGCATGTTATATATTGACCAGCAAAATACAACGAAAGCACTATTTTTCCCCATTACTTATGATATGTATAATTTTTGTTCTGGTCACATTATAAAATAAGCTTGATCAAATATTGGTGAAACTAATTTTGTGACTAATTGTATGTTGTTTTACATCCCTCTCGAGAATTTAAACTCATATTTAGACCCCATCACCTGCGGACGGAGATTGAGCCGTAATTTTTGTCCTCTACTCGCACTATACTTGATCATTGAGCAGTGAAGGGTATTTTTCGTGCTAGTAACTACTGCGACACAGTACAATGGACATTGATGTTTGCGTTCTCATCCGAAAGACATGTCTCTATTTAGTCCCACAGTGGAATTCAAACCCATAATGTAAGGATCAGCTCCTTACTGCGCGACTCAGAGCAGACACTCCAATCACTGTGCCACGCGGGTGACAAAACTAATTATAAGAATGAAGTATCACAAGTTCCTCTTCAAGAAACAAAGGTTAAAAATTTGAAAAATAAGTAATGCATCATCCTTTAAAATGTGTTTCAAAAATCAGACATAGCAACACCAGTTTCTCAGCAAACATTTCAAAAAATATTATCCATTTTATGTTTCACAGCTGTATGATATGTATTTGTCAGTCGAGTCTATTAACATCTATATTCTGAAGCATGTCTCCTAAAAGGGATATATGCATGTAAATATTTAGATATATATGTTTATATACAAAGATAGAGATACAGAAAAAAAAATTGTGACCTTCAAATTCCAACAAAGAGGATATCTTTAATAGTGAAACCTATTTTTTAAAAATATGTGCCTTTATAATTATGTAGTTGTCATCAGTTCTGCAGTGCTCTTTCTCTGTTTGATATTAAAGCTGTCAACACTTCTTGCTAGGTTTGCCTGTTTGGGATTGGCGAATAAGGTCAAAAAGTCTTGCTAAGTTTAGATAGTGTTTATATATTATGTAGTAAAGCATTTCTAGGTGATTCTCTGTTTGACATTTAAAGGTCGTTAGTTTTTGATTGCATGGACTTCTTTTGTTTCTTGTTTCATTCTTGGTACAGTGTACACGAATCCAAAACGACAATGAAGGGGAGATATTGTATGCAAAAGAAATTGTTTTGTTCTCAAACTTTCTGTATTGTTATAATACAGACTCCACTCCACGACTCCACTCTATGACTCCACGACTCCACTCCACTCCACTCCACTCAGCTTTTTACCCCAAGCCCTCAAAGTATGCCCACAAAAATATATGCAAGGAGTTAAATTTATTAGGTTTCCCAAACCTTGGAGAGATATTGAAAAAGTGTCAAAGATGGGTGAATGCTTGTAAGCGGTTCATTGGTGGATCCAAAGGAGGGTAGGTTCCTGGGTTGGAAGCCCCCTTTATTTTTTGTCAAGTGAGAGAGAGAGAGAGAGAAGAGAGAGAAAAAACATTTTCCGAGAATAAATTAAAATACATGTATTTGTACGTCTAACTTATGTATTAAATAGATAGATTCTCACACATTAAGTTTCTTCCACTCACTATTCCCTTTTATATGAAAGAATATAGAGTATACAGTACAACCCTGGAACTCCCCTTTCAAAAATGGCTGGATCCACCTCTGAAACGGGAAGGATTTTCCACGAAATTGGGTATTATCCGTAAAATCACATATAATACTGGATATTAGGGTATCGTTGAATCAATGAGATCTAGTATTAAGGCGTTGTAATCACTTTATTAAACTTAAACAATGGGATGGCACATTTTGCGGTATGTGTCAACTTTCACCTGGATGCAAATGTTTTCTTAAGGTATCACCAGTCAAGTAAGAATTTGGAAGTCAGGATTAATGCACACTGGAAAATAAAAGCTATAGAGCTTAGTACATTTCATGATCTGGGCCAAACAGGCGTTTGTTCTGCTTAATATTTTTCATAATGTTTGAAATATTTGCATCCTCTTCATGTTCATTACCCAACACAACAGAATTGTTAATCAAAAGTTGAATGTGCATGTTTAGATCTATGCATTGATATATCTGAATGCTTGTATCTCAGCTCCATTTAGTCCTGAAGAGTTAGATATAGTAAAGTACTTTTGGTTTTCTCCCATTTCAGGAAGCTCTTACCATGAGTCACTAAAGAATTCAAATTAATATAGTTTATTGCAATTAGAGTGGTTTGTCCTTTTGATGAAAAATGGGAATTCAGTAAATTACATAATTAAACATTAGACCACGATAAATAAATGAAGAAGATGTATTTGTGAAACACTCTGGCCCCCCGTGTGGCAATATAGCGAAGATGCAAATTTAATATATTGGTACCAAAAGTATGGTATTCTTACTGGAAATACAATTGTGAAATATGAAAGTAGGCTAAGGCTAAAGTTAATCCATAAGTACGGAAATCTCCAAGGTAAAGGTCAAAAGGTCATGATTGTTGGTATGCTATGAAAGGTCTTCCCACAAAGAATACATATGTGAAGTATGAAGCCCTAACCCTTCAAAAGTTATGATAAATGATATTTTTTTAAAGTAGGCCAAACTCCAAAGTCAAATGTCTTGCTATAAAATGAAAGGTATTGTCATAAGGATTAAAGCACTAACCCAAAACCTTTTCAAGTTATGGTCAAGATTTGCTTTATAAAAGTAGGTCAAACTCCAAGGTCAAAAGGTCAAAGTTCTGGGTCTTCTTACAAGGATTACATATGTACGTATAAAAAGCACTATTTATCCCTTACCATTCAAAACTTATGGCCAAGGTTAAAATTTTTTCATAAGTATGGAATCTCGTAGGTCAAGGTCAAAAGGTCAAGCTTGTTAATATCTAATGAAAGGTCTTTCCACAAAAATACAAATATGAAGTATAAATGTCCTGGTATCTAATGTTCAAAAGATATGGCCAACTACCTTTAGGCAAATGTTGGGGTCAGAACATGAATAAAAAATTCCCAAAGAGACAACAAATCATGTTCTTCCAAGCCTCCGTCTATCAGTACTTTCAGTACTTTGATTCTTAATAGTTCAACGTCAATGTTGTCCTAGTTTGCATTTGAATTATGAATGGGAAATTAATTGCCATTCTCCTCTCGTTGAAAGCTGTGATTTATGTTCAACGTGAAACGAAGAGCTTCCTTTTTTATCAATAGTCAGACAAGGCGGCTATAAAGAATAGATTTATTTGATTGTTTACTTAAGGATGAAAACTTATCATTGATTGATTGATAAAAGATACAATATCACTTTTGTTTACCCTTACGCAGGTCTTATTATTGAAGACATTGATTCAAACAACATAAAATAAAGATTCTCTATACATCAATAACTTGACGTAAAAAAAACTGTCAAAGATTTAAAACATGACGTGATTGAACCTTAACATATTTTATTCATTAAATAATATATTATATACAAGTAGAATTTTTTTAACCATAAGATTTCCACAGATGTAAAACTATTTTGTTATTTAACAAGAAAGAAAAAAAGTGATAAACATATAACTTTTGTTATTTGGGATAAAAGAAATCATGAATTATGCTGAACCTCAGATATTTAGAAACACTAAAAAAAATAATTAACTATGTTATTAAAGGTTATGAATTACAAAAAACACCAAAAGGCTTACACTATTTAATCATATTAAGTTTGCTCTGTGAATTACAAATTATCATAGTATTTTCCTTTGAGATTTACGTGTGATTTTAAAGCTTTATTATTATACCTCATTATAAATATTCTACACAACGCGTTGTCTGATTGGTTCTAGGTTTTCACGTGATCGGGCCGTAAAACTTCATATTTCCCGTCGTCGGCACGCTTTTCATCATATTCCACCTCTTCGGAACACCAAGTGAATTTCCCGCAATATAGTTCTAATTCGTTGAACGAAAACTCCCGAGACTAGTAGACGTCACAATAGCCTGGTTTACGTCACAAAACTGATGACAATGTGTTGACCAAAGGGTTTTATAGAAACTTTACGTTAACAATGAAAGTGAATTTGAGAGCGGTGCCGAATTCGAAAGTTCATGTTTATTTCAAAGGTTTTGTTTGTTTCGGTATAATAAACAATTCATTGCATGAATGTTCGGGAAACATGAAGACTTATTCAGCCAAGAAATATCATATTCCCCTCGGGCGAAGCCCTCGGGGAATATGATTTTTCTTGGCTGAATAAGTCTTCATATTTCCCTCACTATCATGCAACAAATGTCTAACATTACTTACATGTCCACAAAATATTTGCAAATTTGCAGAATGAATGAGATGAATGAGGAATTATTGATGTGTCTTAATTCTATTAAGGTTTCATAATAAGTCAAAGTATTACTATATACGAATTAACTATAATATCTACATGTAAGTAACATTTACTATGCTAAAATTATTAAACGGTTGTAATATTTTAAGGGTTGAACCATTGGCGGATGCTACAGAAAGATTTATTTTAACGATACAGATCTAAATATTTCAGTTGTACAATGTAAGACAAATCTAAAAACAAATTTGGTTTAAAAAAAACAGCAAAAATAAACATTTATTCATATCTGTATATATAATATTTTTCCCCATTAATTAAAACCAGTGTTTTTTTTTCAGACATGTAGGGATTTACAAATCTCGTAGAAATGTGCATGACTTAAAAATAATAGAATAAGGTGATTTTTTCTAGGAAAAATAAATTATAAATATCTTACCAAATCTGCTTTTAAAATTTCCAATTTTGAGGAAATTCGGTCTGTGGAAGACTCCATTTTATCACAATGTGCACCTGCATAAACAGTTCAGTACTGATATCGTCCAAGGTTTATCAATTACATTTGAATCAAACTTTGTGCAGCGTTATCGCCTTTAATTTAACTAACAAACTAGTCTTTGTCGGGCATGCTCGCACTTATACCACCTGTTTTCCATAATGATTGACAGGTTATAAAGATGAACTTTAAAACCGACGTTACAGTGTACCTGTGCAGCCTTTACTTTAATACAGTAATTAGAGTTAATGGGTCGTAATTGACGGAATATTTACGGATATATTTTAAATTCCCATCCTTGATAGAGTAGCTTGTGTATCTGGAGTCTGGCTTTTTGGGATTTACTTATAGGTGAGATGCAATAAACTCGCTGACGAAAGATGCATTTAATTACATCAGACAGGATATATAGTCGTCAGCTTTTCAAGACATACTGAAACAAAAATTAACTTTAATGCTTTTTTTTAAAAGAAAGAAGGCAACGTCCGATTTGGTAGATTTCATTATATTTCAACCCTCACGAACCTTTATTTTGTGATAAGCACACAAACAATAATGGACGAAGTTCTGGCATATTTATCCAGAATTACGTATACTCTAATATTTTCCTTTATAAAATATATGTTAAAAATAAGACAATGAATTGTGATCGATCTAAAAAAAATCCAATACAACAATCCATACAGCAATACAAATATACAAAGAGGGCATAAAAATGGACCCCTGGAATTCCAGAGTTGGGATAAGGAACCTTAGAAATTTCAGAGGTATGATCAGGTGCCTAGAAGTAAACATCCCTGTTGACCGGTCACAGGGATGAACTCAATTTATAGATGAAGTTGTCAAATCAATACAAAATAGGCCTACATGTAACAATTGATACGAAACGAGTCATCTACAATACGACAAATAGGTTACATTTCTTGATAGGGTCATTTTAAAAATCATTTACAATATACAAAATGACAAGTTTTATAAAGGTTTTTAAAATCTGTGTAAAAACAACTTACCGGTATCAGTAGGTAGTATATCTTGATCGCTAGTATTCAGGACAATCACTTGAGTAGCGATAAAATGGGAGGAGACATAAACACAAAAGTTGAAATCATCACGTTTATTCTACTTCATCACTGTCCAGTTCATTACAGAACCACATGAGATAGCGCTAGCCTATCTGGCCTCAGTGCGCTTTTATCTGGGCTTCAGTGCAGACGTGTTTATTTTAAGCAGCAGTGATTTTCCCGCGGTTTATTAGTGAACAAAGGATTTTGTTATTTTTTATTTAATTGTTTTATTACTCATCATGGCTACTGGCCGTGAAGAGGATGCCCTACTGGGGTCATTTGATGATGATTTAACAACAGATTCAAAGCAAATTTTTAATGCTTTGACTAAAATTCAAAGTACTATGGACACAGTTGCTACTGGCATTAATAAAATGGGGGATGCTTTTTCCGCATTAGCGGCAGCAGGCCCCAAACCTATGGTTACTGACCAGCCTTCCACTTCCAACAAGCGTTCTGCTGATTTAATGGAGGAGGGGGAGGCAGATGACTCTGAGTATGATGATACTGATGATATTAAGAGTCTTTTGGAATCCGGAAATTCCGGAGCCAAAGTTGATCTATTGGATGATCAGCAGAGTGGTTCAGTGTTAGAAGAAATGGACGCTCTTTTAGATGATGATGATGATGTTGGTTCAGCAATTTCTGAAAAATTGGCCAACATAACTAACAAAGCATTTTCTAAACAGCATTCTATTGATGCTGTAAAGAAAAAGAAAGAGTCACACAAAAGGCCAAAGAATTGTGAAAAAGTCATTGTGCCTAAAGTCAACAAAGAAATTTGGCGCCAAATGCACAAACAAGCTTTTACAAAAAAGCGTGACTTAAGATTGATGAATGTTCAGAGTTTGATCACTAAGTCAACTTGTGCAATAGTTAGTGTAGCAAACAAGTTGTTAAATTTGGATGGCCAGAAGCATGATGCAGAAATAAGAAATTGTCTTGATGCAATTTATTTATTAGGCCATGCGAATACCACTATGTCTATGCAGCGGAGAGATTTATTAAGACCAGTACTTAAAAGTGATTATGCTGCATTATGTGACAGCAATGTCCCGGTTACATCTTTGCTTTTCGGAGATGACCTTCCTAAGTCTCTGAAGGAGGCTCGTCAAGTAGGCAATGTTGGAAGGGATTTTTCAAAAAACGGGAAAAGATTTGGGTTCAGTCAGAGGAACAAGAGCGATTTTTCTTGGAAAAAGAAGAATCAAAGTCAGCAGAAGAGATTCAAGAAAGATCAGTAACAGAGACCCTGACTGAGGTAAAACTTCAATCTACTACATCTGAAGAATATGCAAGTTTTATAGAAAAAACTATTTTGAATGCTAAAAGAGACATATTACAATTTGAAGGTGGCAGAATCATGCATTTTATAGATCAATGGACTGAGTTCACTTCAGATCCAGAAATATTGAGCATTGTGAAGGGTATTGAACTTGAATTTATTAGTAAACCAGTTCAAAACATTAATGCAATGCATCAATGCAAATTTAATATGACAGAGAAAAAAGCAATTGATGACGAAATACAAAAATTACTTGATAAAAAAGTAATTGTGGAAAGTGAAGAGGAAAAAGACCAGTTTGTGTCTCCTATATTTTTAAGACCTAAAAAAGATGGTAAATACAGGTTGATATGCAACTTGAAACATTTGAATAAATTTATTCAGTATCGCCATTTTAAAATGGATTCACTGGTGTCAGTTTTAAGGATGATAACACCAAATTGTTATATGGCTTCCATTGATCTAAAAGATGCATATTACTGCATACCGGTTGCAGATGTTTATCAGAAATATCTTAAATTCTATTGGAATTCAAAGCTTTACATGTATAGAGCATGTCCTATGGGCTTATGCATGAGCCCTCGGTTATTTATAAAGGTACTGAAACCAGTTTTTTCAAGGCTTAGACAAAATGGCCATCAATCTGTAATTTACATTGATGACATTTATTTGCAAGGTGACAATGCTCAAGCATGTCAGGAAAATGCAATTGCTACAGCAAACATGCTGGTTAATTGTGGATTTGTCATTAACCCTGAAAAATCTGTTTTTCAGCCAAGCCAAGAAATAGAATATCTAGGTTTTCTACTAAACTCAGTAGAAATGACAATTGCAATTACAGAAAGAAAGGCATTGAAAGTGGTTACAATTTGTGATGAATATCTTAAATCAAAAAGAAATTCAATTAGAGATCTTAGCACTGTTATTGGAAACTTGGTGGCAAGTTTTCCAGCTGTACCACATGGACAGTTGTTTTATCGTCAATTAGAGAATGAGAAAATTTTGGCTTTAAAGATGTCAAGGGGTCAATTTGATGCCGAAGTTCATTTATCAAATCTAGCAATTAATGACTTAGAGTGGTGGAAACTAAACATTGTGGGTTCTAAGGCCCCAATTACCCGAGGTCAATCGGATTTGATAATTGAAACTGATGCAAGTTTGCAAGGCTGGGGTTGCAATTGTCAATCACTGAGCATATCAACAGGTGGCCCATGGAAAGAATCCGAAAAGAATTATCATATAAATGTTTTAGAACTTCAAGCTGTTTACTTTGCATTGCAATCAATATGTAATGATAAGAAAGATATGCACATAAAGCTTTTAATTGACAATACAACTGCTGTTGCATATATTAGAGAACAAGGAGGTAGTGGTTCTTTAGAGTGCAATAAAATGGTCCGAAAAATTTGGACTTGGGCATATGAGAAAAATATTTGGCTTACAGCTGCTCATATTCCTGGGAAAATAAACTGCAAGGCAGATTTTGAGAGTAGACATTTTAAACAGGAATATGAATGGATGCTTAATAAACAAGTTTATCAATCAGCTTGTGATAAATTGAATTTTAATCCAGATATTGATTTGTTTGCTACACGCAATAACTGTCAATTAGAAAAATTTGTGTCGTGGAAACCAGAGCCTGAATCTTTTGCAATTGATGCTTTTTCTATTTCTTGGGCTGACATGAAATTATACTGTTTTCCACCTTTTAGTTTGATACCTTCGGTTTTACAGAAAATAGTGTTAGATGAAGCCACAGGTATTTTAATAATGCCAGATTGGCCAACACAACCATATTATGCAACTGCAATGAAAATGCTCATAGAAAATCCAATCTTTGTTCACAGGAGGAAAACTCTGTTGGGCATACCGGGGACAACGCAGATACACAAAATATGGGAAAAGTTGAACTTACTAATATGTCTGTTATCAGGAGATCAATCCAGAGTAAACACTTATCGGAGCAAACTAAAGACATTTTGTTGTCTTCATGGAGAGAAAAAACAACTAAACAATACGAGTGTTACCTCCGTAAGTGGGAGACATTCTGTAGTGGACGGGAAGTTAATCCCTTTTCAACACCTGTGAAGGAAGTTTTAGAATTCTTAACTTTTTTATACGAGAGTGGCATTGGCTATTCTGGGATAAACACAGCAAGAAGTGCTTTATCGTCAGTAGTTACTCTTGTTGATGCCATGCATTATCCAGTGGGACAGCATCCCTTAATTAAAAGATTTCTCAAGGGTGTTTTTAATAAGAGACCTACTTTTCCAAGATATTCAGAAATCTGGGATGTTTCAGTAGTGTTCAACTGGATGAAAACAATTAATTTTGATGATATGTGTTTGAAGTTGTTAACGCTGAAGACAGTAATGCTTTTAGCTTTATTATCTGGACAAAGGGTACAAACCCTTAAAGCGTTATCAGTGGAAAATTTAAAATTTACGGATTCTTATGTAGAATTTAGAGTTGATTCTTTACTTAAACAAAGCAGGCCTGGGTTTCATTTGAATAAACTCGTATTACCGGCTTATGAGGACAGAAATTTGTGTATAGTTCAACATTTGAGAAAATACATTGACATGACAAAAGAAATAAGGAACACTGATTCATTATTAATTAGCTATCAAAAGCCCCATGCGTCAGTATCATGTGACACTATTGCTGGCTGGATAAAATCGGTGCTTAGCAAAAGTGGTGTGGATGTTAATGTTTACACTGCGCATAGTACACGTGCTGCGTCGACATCTTGTGCAGCTTCAATGGGATGTCCAA